AAAGATCAGGTGGAGAAGGACTTGGCTTCACTTGGCGTTTCCAATTGGCGTCAGTTGGCACAGAGGAGAAACGACTGGCGTGCTTTGCTGAACTCGGCCAAAATCGCTTAGGCGGTTACAGCGCCAAAAAAGAAGAAGAAGAAGAAAATTGTAAGGGCTATAAAACTGCATGCCCAAAAATGTTCTTAAGATTCAGATTTAAAAGTTGAAATTTTGACGAAATTTTTTGGTATTTTCTTAAATGTTTTATGAAGTTTGAAACTATGATTTTTATGGTTTTGGTTCAAGCGTGGAAAATATTTTTATAGAATAATAACAAAAAAGTTTAACTCGAAAAACATGAATATTACAAAAAAAATCAACACATGGTCACTTCTTTGAGTCACTGTACATACATATATGAATATGTATTATAAATGTGTGTAGAGCCTGCACATGTCCACAATAGACATAACATCTAAGTATATCAGTGAAGCCTTCAAGTACGTATATACATTTGTACGTATTCAATGTTATTTAGTAGCTTTAACGAGTTTTTTTTTATTGAAATCTTTCCACGCGCAAAAGCTTTTTGAATTTCTTACGATAAGATGAAGAAATTGTTGGTTAGCTTTGATTAATTTGCTTTGTTTTTATAGCTTCATTAAAATGTATGCCTTTCAGGAAAATCTGCCTCACAAAGGGGTATAACGTTACTGCCGTTACTGCAAAGAGCATAAAGCCCAAAAGCCCAATTGTTCTATTTACAGATTTGTATCTTACATTAAATTTTTATGACATCGCTGCAGACATGGAGGAGTAGTCGAGCAAGAAAAAAAATGAAATGTCAATAACAATCACTATGGCTCGAGCAGTGGTTGTAAGAGAGCGGCGATCTACGCTCTTTCCAGGAGGCTTATCAGGAAATGACGAATATGTTGCTGATAAGGAAACTCTTTGTGCATATGTAATGTTACTCTCAGCACTCAAAACGATTTTCAAGAGAGCAGACATTGTGTGCTTATCTCTTTCTTAAATATATATTTATCAGCTAAGGGATTATAAAACTAAAACACAGAGTAAGAATAAAAGCAAAAAATATAAATATATATATGTATTTGCTATCACTGGTCAGACTCAACAAATTGAAATACAAAAATATTTTTATCGCCAAGAGCAATTCACCAAAGAGTCTTGAATCGAGTTATGCGGATGAACTAGTCTCTTTAAACCATCGCATAAAAAAGACGCGTTCGGTGTGCGCGGAGAAAGTAAAGCATACAATTTTAATAATAAAATCGCAAACAAAATCACAAACATACAGAGAGCCATATTTTCCAAACGTTCCAGAGGGCGATAGAAAAACGTTTATCAAATCGAAAAAAGTGAAAAGTTCTCCCATTCGCATATTTGCAATAAAAATCTCAGTACTATTTATTGAAAATGCGCACATACATAAACAAAGTAGGTTATTTAATATTTTACATTAAAAATAAAATCTTGCAAACAACTTGACTACTTTCTTCATATAAACAGATACACAAATCTAAATCAAAAATGGAATATTCCTAGATTTCATGCATACATACATATAGATACATACACCGTAAATGTACATGATCATTCATATACAAATCATGCTTTTGACGCCACCAAGTGCACTCAATCTACTGCATATCATCTACGTTCTATGTATTACAGGAGAGCGAAATTATCGATGTGCTCTGGAAGCAAGATGTCGATCTGGGTTATACATTGACACCACCGCATTTGCTTAACTCAAGTAGTAATGGTAAAGTTGCAGTGGTTTCTGATGACGACATTGAGAAGTTAAAAGCGCTAGAATACCTAAAATTAGATCAGGTAAGTTATAGCGGCGCTAGCAAGAAACCTAGAAAAGCATGAGAAATACATATTTATGAGTAGATACGTTATAGAAGAACTCTCTGAAAAATGTTTAAATGAAAAACTGTAGTAGTAAAATACCACCAAGATACAGAATTTCAAAACCAGATAATAAAATGGCAAGCTCATAGTTATAAGAGAGTGCTCTATGCGCTCTCCGGAAATTTCAAGTTGCCGATCAAACGCAGCGGCTTTATCAAAGCTACAAATTTTAAGCGTTTTACGTACCTATAGCTTGCGCGTTTGAGGATGAGCTTGATCTTTACCTAACCCTGCTGTGATGTTGAGTAAAATTAGACGAATTAGGGACGATTGTAGGCTTTAAGAATTTTGTTTTAACTCAACAGCTTTCGCTTTTAGTAGAAGAACAAAATGTGGTTTTAAAACAGTTTAACATTAAACAAATTCAGATTACCACTTCAAAACATTTCCATTTGCCAGTTAGAAAATACATAAATGATTAACTGTTCAAGTAGATATTTATTACGAAATATAGAGTTGAACATTTTTTTTTTAAATCTTAACTATATACAGTGGGGAGCTGTGTTGAGTACATGGTGATTTTTGTTAAATATTTGCGAAGTTTTTTGTTATTTTTTCATAAAAATATGGTTCATGCTTTAAACAAAACCATATAAATCAAACTTTATACAGAACATAAAAAAATTTAAAGTTTTCACTAAAAATTTGAGCTTTTTAATCCGATTTTTTTTTTTAATTTTTCTGAGTATGCAGTTTTGTAAATTTAATAATTTTAGTAAATTGCTAGTTTGAAGTGGTTACAAATTCGCATTGAGTTTTGATATTTTTTTTTGCTGGCGGCTGTTGCACTTTTTTGCATACAAGCATGAATTTCTGATAGAAGAAAAAGCGCAAGACAACTTGCAAAGAAAATTAAAAAAATCAACGCCAGTTTTTTAAGGTGGACTTGTTATAATAACTAGTAATTTTTAGCAAAAAAAAAACGACTTAAAAAGTATATATATATATCTATAAATTTCTTGATTCAATGATGATAACCAAATTGGTATGGGACCACCTCTGAGATACTACCTTTCCGTTGCAAAAACAATTATCGAAATCGGTTGATGTGGTCCAAAGTTTTGCGGTAACATACATCAAAAAAATAAAAAATAAAAATATTCCGACGAACTGATAACCTCCTTCTTTTTTGGAAGTCGGTTAAAAAAAAAGCCAAAGCCGTCAGCAGAAAAAAAATATTAAAAATCAACGCGATTTTGCAGCCGCTTAAAACTTGCACTTTATTATACTAAAATTATTAAATTTACAGAACTGCATGCTGAAAAAAAAAATTCTAAAAAATCGGATAAAAAAGCTCAACATTTTAATGAAAATTCGTTGCATTTTTCTAAGTTCCGTATAAAGTTTGAAATGTTGATTTATGTGGTTTTGGTTAGAGCATGAACCATATTTTTACGAAAAAATAAAAAAGTAAATTAGCTGTACATATATAGTAGGGCAGAATTTTTTCATAATCCCCATCATTGTACTGCAACACACCAGTGCCGGATTAAGACTGCTCTACGTACATAGAAATAATGCAGCATTATTCTTCGAGCGCACTCTGAGACTGAATTAAGTAAATCTTGCTCATCCAAGTAAAAATTCTCTTTTTCACGCTCTAAGCCGGGACGAAGATTTTGAAGCTTCGTCGCGCATAAAGAGCAGAGCGCGAACAAAAAAAAAAAATTAAAAAAAACGATTAATGAATGATCTTCTCATCCGATCCGCTCAAAATGCAAGACCTATTATCTACAATAATAAAAATCAAAACTAATAAAATACAGTATATTTGCTAAAATAATTTCAGATTCAATGTGATGTTCAGAGATTTTAATTCTGAGGAAGTAATTTTTTATATGAAGTGAGTGTAGCACAGAGCAGACGTTTTGCAAAGATGTGTTGGTTTGATCCAATTTTAAAGGGATTTGTAAAGAAATCGCGCAATATTTTCAATACAACGAAAACGAAATATTTTACATTTACAAGGAAAGGACATACCTATGTTTTGAAGCGCAAGGTGAAAGAGTATGGCCCCGAAGGGCTTATTTTAAATAAAAATTGTTGAAGGGCCAACAACAAACACGCGACATTTAGATGCTTTGTTGTTGTTTTATTTTTGCATGTCTTTCAATTTAATTTTGCGTTGTATAACATCTAAATGATACATATTAATTATTATAGCCAAACTTTGAGGACAAAGATGCTAATGTATCCGATATCGATGATGAGTGGGCTGGTATACCATTCACGGTGGATAATGAAACTGGTAAGTTATATGAATTTATAAGTTATTATGAATATATGTATACGAAATATTTCTTATGTGAAGTGCTAGCTGCCGAATGTTGCCGAGCATTTAAAAGACTTGTGCCGAGTAGGATCGCGCATAGATTTTATAACATTACATGCATAAGCACAAGCTCCCTGGTTTGGTGCGCAATTAGGCGAGGAAAAGAGCATTCCAAAACCAGCAGCGTTCTGGAAAATTTTGAAAAATGTTGCAAAGATTTTTTTTTCAACTGCACACATACATATCGTCACCTGAAATGCAAAAAACGTAACAACATCGCAACTAAAATGGAAAAGGTGGTGACTGATATTTTTATTTATTTATTTTTTTCATAAAATGATATGGGTAGGGTAGTTGTAATTCGATGAAATCCATCATATAAATCAAAAAGTGAAATTTGAATTCTTTATTAGTTAAGACTTTTTGCATTTCAGCGATGATGTTGGATACGTCTTTTTGCATTTCAGGTTACGATATCGAGCCCTAACCGCCAAAATAACGTAAGCGAAATTTTTTTCAAAATTTTATTTTTGATGCAGAAGTACATCTAGATGCTCTAGGAATATTTCTGCATCAAAAAGAAAATTTTGAAAAAAATGTCGCTTACTTTATTTTGGCGGTTAGGGCTCGATATATATGTATGTCTGTACTAGACATCTGCATGAGTTGATTCAAACTTCTAGCCAAACAGAGTACAGTAGATTTGCTACTTCATATACAAAACACTCAGCGTTTTGAATTTTGTAATTTATAAATATACAATTTGTTTTAAATTTTCTGCCTTCAAATGGAAAAATGTGAATGAATGAATGAACAGAATTCAAATCATGCAAACTCATTTTGGTTATAGTTTTTTCTACAAACAAGTTTGTTCATATGTACATATGTATGTACACTTGTGCTCATATAATTAAGTTATCCAGTAGTAAAATTGCAATAATCGAAATAACATAGCAACTCTTGACATAACGGTTTATATTTATACCCGAGCGCACTTGTGCACAAGGGTATTATAACTTTGTTCACATAACGGTTGTTTGTAACAGGCAAAACGAATCGAGATAGATATAGACAAATGTATACATAAATGATCAGAATGAAAAGAGAAATCGATTAAGCGGTGACTGTCTGTCCGTCCGTCCGTCCGTCCGTCCGTCCGTCCGTCCGTCCATCCGCGTCCTGTGCACACGATAACTCGAGTAAAAATTGAGATATTTAACGAAACTTGGTATGTGCACTTCTTTTG